TGAGGTAGGGAAGGAAAGGTAGTGAGTGTGGCACACCTCCTCCCCCCTTTTGCGCACAGCATCGCGCAGTTTGAAGTGGGATTCGTTGTATTATGGCGAAGGGCGACCGGAGTACCTGCAATTAATTGAAGTGTTAACAACAAGCATCAATTTTTTTGTTGCTCCCTTATCTATAAAACATGTCCTTCCCCAGGCAATGTAATAAAGACAAAACGAGTGAAAGTGCCGCAAAATAACAGGCCGCAAAATAACAGGGCTTCGTTGAAAGCTCACCAGGCCGGCTCAGCCCATGGAAGAGCACTACCAAACTGTTTCCCGGACTCCATTATTATTATTATTATGAATTCTGGTTTCGACAAGATGCAGAAGACGCAGCAAGAAAACAGTCGTTCATTTCATGCAACCAAAAAACGGGCAGCTTTGCCAGTTCTAAGAGGTCAATTAGGAGAGGAGGTCGTTGCAAGGCAGCTCTGGAGGCGGTCGAAGATTGATCCGAGCGGACCTCGGGATATTTTTGGTTTTAAGTCCATGCAATATTCCCCAGGCATTCGTTAGCTGTGAGATGGTCTCATCGATTCGAGGGGTAGGACTTTGGAAACTTCTGGGCTCCGAGGCTCTCGCGGGTCCCTCACTTGCAAGTTGCGTGGTCCGTGGCCTGTATACATATTCGCCGTGGGGAAGCGCTCAGTGGACCTCGGCTAACTAATTAACGAGCTCTACTCCGTACATTTTCATGATAGCAAGATGTCAAAGACAAGTATTGGCCGGGATGAAGAGAGCATACCCCATCGCCAATTGAATTCAATCACTATCCCCATCATTAGTCTGTTTTGTTTTTACCGTATCTCCCTGCTCCATCCTCTTTCCCAACATACATACATTCTCAAAAGAATAAACCAAGCCAGTCAAGTCACCCAATCAACCACTCATTAAATCATTTTCCCCCAATAGCAGTACAGAGCAGCTTCATACGTAAACTCATGTACTGTACTGCACAAAAAAACAAAACAAAAACAAAAATAACAAGCGCTTAGTGTGTTCATCATGTCATCGTCAACGTGGTGAGCATCCCAAAACGAAAAGCCAGCTCCAGAAACGAAAGAAAAACAACAGAAAAATGAAACGAAATTAAGTATCAATTGACCAGCTCACATCGCAGGTTAAAACCAATCACACCAAAGGTTCGTGCATTTATAGATAGGGATGCGGCACCGCAGAGAGCAAAGCGCGCACAGCACAGCAGGAAACCATCGAAGATGGTACACGCCCTCTCTCCACCTCGCATGGTAACATGAACGCGTCGGGCGGCCGATCTGAACAAGCCATGTGGAAAGGTCGAGGATCAAAAAGCAAAGAAAAAAGAAAAAAGAAAGAAAGGAATGAATTTCCCACCTTTGCGCCCATGCGCTTCCAGGCCCGCGTTCTGCATTTCGCAGTGCGCATTTCCTGCTCGTGGGAGCCCATGATCTTTCTTCAAACAGAATTAAAATGAACTGAGGCCCTTTTTAGTCTTCCTTTTTAACTTTTCCGGCCCCATTTTTTCCATTTTCACCTCGTCGCCGTAAAACCTAAAAAGCAACCGTTTTGTCGTTGTTGCGCCATTTTTTTTCTTTGTGTTGTTTTTTCTCTTTTCTTTCTCAACCCGAATCGTTCAATTCGCTTTCTTACTTTATTTGGGGGCCCCACGGGTTTTGCATCCAGCATCAAAGATTCTTGTAAAAAAAAAAAAGGAAGGAAAAAACGAAAGTCGTGCAAAGAAGGAAACGAAGTAAATCAAAACAATATATCACGTGTCCACGCGAATAGAACCAAAGTGTAATAAACGCGCAATGGGGCCTCAGATCAACAATCCTGGGATGGTTATTAAATAGTATGCATGCAAGTGCTAAGGATTTAGTGTAACGGTATCGCAGAGCAGCAAGTCTTTATCTCCAGACAAAAAGCGCACTCCACAACTACCAATACGCCGCTTGCTCCGGTGTTCGTCGCAACAGAGTAAGAGAAATTATCAAAGAAAGAATAGGTGCATAGAGAGGAATTGAAAGAGCAATGAAAAGGAATTCTGGATATCGAGGTTGGACACGGTACACCAGCTTCTCCCGATCTGGAGCGCAGCTTTGGGTTGCACACGGACAAAAAAACAAAGGGAGAGGGGGGTAAACAAATAAAGCAGCTTGTATGTAGGGGCTTGATAAAAGCTCGTATCATGAACAAAATTAATAACGAAAACGGGTAATTTTAAGAAGGGAAAAGAAACAGAAATGCCGTTGAGCCTGTAGCGGTATGATAGCAGCACAGGAAACGAGGCGAGTAGGTAGGTAGTCATCGCAACGAAAGAGAATGTTCCTCCCTCCGTCATCAACATAACTCGTTGAATGAACGACGACATAGCGAGATGGGAAAGGAAAGATCAGAACAAAACAACAAACTCCCCCACCCCATTTTCGGAGAAGAAAATATTGGAGAAAAAAAGGAAAAGAAGAAGAGGAAAGAGCGGCCCGTCCAGTTTCATGTTGCGTGTCATTTCCATAAGTGAGCGGATATCGTTTCACATACGTTGTATTGTGGCAGAACGAAAAAAATAAGTTATTATAAACACAAGATTAAAACGAATGGAAAGCAAATATGCCAATTCGTTCCGTAACAAATATCACGATTGGGTTCAAAGAAAAGAAAAATCTCAGGTTCGCACGTTATATCACGCGCTGACTCGTATGGTTGTGATTATGCTTCGCTTCCCAAATCATCCGCTTTCGTCGAAACTCCTCAGCATCAAACTCGCTCTCACCGTGGCTACTGCCAAGATTTCGATCGCGCTCGCCCAGAATGCTCGTGGAGCGCATTTTGCGGAGCGTGCTGACGCTGCGCGATGACCTGGGCGGCTTGTCCTCGTTGAAGTCGCCACGCGAGCGCATCTTGCGCAGCTCCTTGCCGATGCGTTCAAGTGTGGAGCTACTGCTCGTCTTGCTAGCCTTAGGTGTTTTAGGCATTTTGACCGTTTTGGGCGTTGGGGATGGTGGGAGTGGTTTGTTGAGGGATCCGCCGTTGACGGAGCTGGTGCTGCCGCTGTAGTTGTGGTTTATGTTGGTATTGCTATCGTTGTTGTTTGTGTTACCGGTGCTGCTGCTGGTTGACGGGCGGCCGTAGTCATTATTAGATCCAAAGCTGATTCCCGAATCGACCTTTCGGCCCTTACTGGTTCTGTTGTATCCAGATTGTTCCTCGAGGCTGTCCCGATTGTTGATTTCGAAGCATTCGTTGATGATATCAATCGCTGAACACATGAATTTGTTGATATATTCGTGCACCACAGGCCATCCTGTAGACTCCCCCGGCCGCCTGTCCTTTAAGATGAGCGGATCGAGTACGCGTTGGCCTTTATCTTCTACTTGGCATATATACCTAAAGAACGTATGACGTTCTTCCATGAGCATCCTTTCACAAACGTGCGCAGCAAGCCGGACAGATATAACAGCGGGGATAAGCGTGTTTAGCATGGGCAACGCATTTTGCTTTGTTGAAAGGGGGTAGAAGCATCTCGTTAATTAGAGTCTGACGCCAAATGTTAGCATTGAATAAAAAATATTTTCAACGTCAAACAAGGGAAACTGTTCGCATGCTAGAGGCTTACCCAATATCTAAGACGGAGATAGACTTGTGAGTATAGAGCAGCAGCATATCTGTCCTTCTCCATGATTGAGTCAATCCAGCTTGAAACTCCAGGATACCGTTTCACAAGATCATCTTTGTCAAAAGCATCATCAAGCACACCAAGTTTCTCCAAGGCAGTTTTGATCTCTTTGCCACGACGCTGCTCAAGGTCCCGAAGGTAGTCTAGAGCCGTCAATGCCTGGGGAAAGTCAACGAGAGCGAGGTCTTCCGGGAGACAGCGGCGGACAAAAGAACAAATAAAGTTGGGTGGTAGAGAACATGGCTGAGAAGGCAATTGAGATATCTGGGACATAAGGTGCATCTTAAAAATCGCGGTAGTGCTGTTCATGTTGTGTGCGGGGTTCTTGTCATCCTTGCGTCCGGGGCTGTAACGCGATGGAGGGAACGCGTTGCCGTCGAATTCACGGGAGAAAGGTGAGACAGCATTTGAACCGGGGCTCTTGGGGAGAAGAGAGAGAGAGGAATTAACCCCAGCAGTTGAATTCAGGGCATACATGGTGCGTAGGGGGATTTCATATGTCTCGGGCTGGCTGTAGTGTTCAGCGATCCACACCCAAGCAGAGTCCTCTCTGCAATGAGGACTGGCGAATTGACAGCTCGCCATGGTCCAAGGGCGGGATATTGTGATAGTTGCAGCAGCAGTGGCAATGGCAATAAGACCGGTAAGTATAGCGGAGAAAAAAATGGTCGATATAACGGCGAAACAATGCAGCGCAAAGAGAGACCAGAAAAGAGTACACAATGGATTGTGAACTTGTGATACAACAGAAACGATGCCAGCTCTGACAGGGTTTGAATCGAATAGGTTTGTTGAAAAAGTTACGAAGATGTTGACGGCAAATGTTTATAGCTACACGTCACGTCGTCACTGCATCCTCCATGATAAGAGGCGTGAGTTGGGAGATAATATTGGACGTTTGGTTGCTGCGGTGGCAACCATCTCACGCCATGGAACCCATCAGCTATCAATTGCATTTGAAATATATCGTCAGTCATTATCCTGAGTACAGAAACACAGAAACAAGACAATGCAAACAAAAAATGAGAGTGATTGGGTGTCATGTTGTTGTGAGAGAATGTGAAAGAAGGTGGAGTGAGTGAGTGGGCAGAATCAAAAATCACATAAATTATATACCTTCTGCAAAAGCACTCCAGGCGTTGATATAATGAATGACTTCCAAGTTAGAATACCTGTATATGGCCCAGCAGTAAGCAGAACCGGCAAAAAGCAACAATTGCTTTTCGAATGGGGAAATGGGGAAATGTTCAGTCTCGAGATGGAGATAAAAGAAGTATCTAAAAAAGACGTTGAAAGAATCCAAAGGATGCTTCAAACAGCCCGCAGACTCCGTCCTGTCTTACGAACACAAGGTGAAAAAGAGAAAAATAAAACAAGAGCCTGGAACTTGTCCGCTGGGAGAAACATAAGTTAATGTATAAGTTAGCTAACCTTCGAGTGCACGATATGTAATGTGATTGATTATCGACCAGAAGCGGCCGCAGCAGGCTGGTGCGACAGCCTCCATGGAGCCTACAGCCTACAGGTACCGAGAGGTGCATATCCTACTACATCCTACAGGTCCATACCGGAAAGCTGTAGATCCACTCAGCACTAGAAAATGTTATCAGAACATTCTGACACGGATTTTTCGTTTTCCCTTTTTTCGTTCCCGTTTTCTACTTTTGCCTCAGATATTTTAAACTCTCTGCCGAAGCCAAAGCAGCTCGCGTCACAGGAACTGCATCTTTCCCCGGCATATCTGGGCCACGCCACTTGGGGATGTCCACATCGCATCCTGGGACACTGATTGGCCTATTCGTTTCCAGTGTTTTGTTATTTGTTGTGGAAAAAGACTAGTCATTTAATAGTTTACGAGGAATAACAGGGCCTGGATGCGAATTCGTTCTGCAGCTGTTTTCATGATCCTGCCTAGGATAGGATCTAATAATAATAATAATAATAATAATAAGTAAGTAAGTTACTAGCAATAATTACCTCAGTATTGTCATCCCTCTGCTTTCGTCCATTGATGCCCTCGCTCAATGATATTTGAGTCCTATCTCCAGACTAGCTACCTAGGCGGATAAAGATGACAGAGCAACGATTTCTGGCGCTGCTGGTGCTGCTGGTGCTGCTGCCACTGCTGCATGTCAAAAGGTGAAACTCGCTGTCTCACAAATTCTTTTCGCTTACTGAGATTTGCTTTTTATGACCTTTTTCCCCCCAAACTGAAAATGGGGAACGGAACCAGATGGGCCCGTTTCTTCCAGCTTACGGCATGTTCCACTTTTCAACCTTTTTAGGGCTGTGGAAAGCCTGTAAACCCGCATCGATGGGCCATCGTGCAGATCAATAAATCAATCCGAGTGATTGAAAGAAGAACGAAAAAGAGACGTGTTGTGGAGCCCTTGACAAGCGCCTTGGACGGCTTCGGGACAACATGAATATCGAATGAAATCAAGAAAAACCCTCGCATAAAGATTGAAGCGGTTTTGGATAATAATACCAAACACAATCAACTTTTAAGCCTCCGAAATGCCACCAGACGCATGGAAACAATAACGGAAATAGAAAATACCAGTATTCAAGTGTAGGTACATACTGTGATGGATTGAAATCAAGAATTCTCCAGCTTTTCCAACGGCCCTTACCCTAGCTAGTTTGTGTGAAGGCCTGGGTTTTCCAAGGATCCGATCATGATTCGGTCCACTGACCTCCTGGGTTGAATTCATCCGTTTGGACAACTATCGTCGTCACCATCTTCCTTAGGCGCAGCGCCGCAGGATCTGCTGGACTAAGCAAAATACAAACTCTTGAAAATTCCGGGCCGGCCCAGAAACAGTAGTAGTCTTCTACCTTCTGATGCTTCGAGTTCCAGCCGAACCTCAAGGGTAGCAATTTGTTCGGCGCTAATCCGTGAGTTATGGTAGTATTGGGGTAGTTGCAAGACCCAAAAATGGTTAAAATAATACGACAAGAGGATCAATTATTGCTCCCAAACCCCCAAACAACGTCTGTGGGTACCGTTCCTACTTTACATGGTCGATGATGCGGCTATTATTCTTCGCTCTCGTTTCTTTTTCTTGTCTTTTTTTCTCCCACAATTCGTCCATTTTTATTTTCGACGTCAATTTCACTCATGTCTGTTATGTAGAACAGGGTCTCGAAAATATCACTCTGGGATGGAATTCTTTAATCGCCCTCCACAAGGTTTATTTATTTGTTTGTTGAGTTTGCTGAGCTACTTGTTTATATTTTTCCACCTGCAGCTACATACTCCGTACTCGATCGGGTAATTCGATCTATCATCGGGCTGGTGCTCGTTTTAGTGGGCAACTTATCGCTGCCGAAGAACTACGGTAGGTTAGCTGAATGTTTGATCCAATAACTTTCTTAGGTTACAAGAGCACCACGAGAAGCCGGTCCAGTAAAAGCGCAGAGATGTTTTTTTTGTGCTTGTGTGTGTTTCCATTTTCTCAGCTTCCGACTGGCCTGGTTAGCCACGGAATAAATGGTTCACCTCTTGAATTGTATCAAACAGAGAGCATGAGTCCTAACCCCCCTTATGGATGTCGACCGCCACACAACGTTCTACGCCAAACCGATCCATGAATGAGGGGACCTTGGTACATGTGTTTAACATACGAAGGTAAGAGGGATCACTTTTCTAACATCAAGACCCTGTTCAGATGACACACAAGGGCGCACATGGTCCCAGGTATCCGGGATTATTTACGCAGCTACTGGCACGAGGGGGGAAAATGCATAATTCTGAAATCAGAAACAAGTTTACTTAACTAGTTACCTCTCTCTCTACCTTGTTCTAGCTTGACTTGTTCCTTCACTTCAACCCATCCATCTTTCTATGCCTGACACTTTTCACACACCTCATGAATCATGAGGATGGGTCGGAATCTGGATGGGATAATGTTACATTGTTTACATCTCCCAAGGTGTGCGACTTTGCAACACAGATATGGGGTGGCGGGGTAGCACACGATCAGACCATCGTACCAGATCTGGTTCCCTTATCTCTCTCGTCTTAATGCGATGTAGCATCTGCCAACCCCGCTTCAACTCAGCAACGTGCTCACGACCTGGGTCGGTATTGCGTGTGGGGCGATCGAAAACGAAAAACAGGACTGAGGTAGAAGTCATCCTGTTCATTTGACGAAGGGGATAATCATGAGGCAAGTGACTCCAGTTGTACATGTACAGTACATCTGCAGGCACCATTATATCCAGCTAAAGGAATCCTACCCCCGAGGCCGAAAGAACTTGAAAACGCCCACCTGAGTTACAATCTTAAGTTTAAAAAATATATAATAGAGAGAGAGAGATAGGGAGTGGATGCTGGAGACAGCAAGGACATATTGACGGGAACATATCTACGCCTGAGCCCCCCTGATGTCTTTTCCACGGGGGTTTTGAGAATCAGATAGATATTCGTCGGGCTCCAGTTATCAGCTATGTACATGTACAGGGCATGTCCATGTATGCACATGAACATATACTTACTTACAGCTTACAGCAAAACTGTTCGAACCTTGATAAAATATGGAACACGGATTCCGTTCTAATATCCAACATGATATTTCCTGGAATCGCCTCCAGCACCGATTGCTGAGCCCCTTTGTTTACCCTGATGGACTAAAAACCCTGGTAGGTAAAAGCAAACAATGCCTCTTCCTCCCTTCTACAATAACCCGTATCACTTATCTCCAGCCACCCTCGGAAAGCGGTCTACAGAGTCCTCGGTAACAACTAGGGGTCCATCGGGGTATCGGGATACCTGCATGATGCTGTGCCCTGCATCTTCACCTACACAGGTACATTCATGTACAGTACGTAGGGGTACAGTACTTGGATAGAGATGCATGTGCACGATGCGACCAGCTGTCCCAGTCCATGAATCTTATTATGGTGCCGTGACGGAATTGCTTCATGTCTCAACCTATTATTCTATTCAATGAAATCCAATCTATACCTTCAACCTCCGTCAAATGTGAACATGATAGCCCGCCTCTTGTTTCTACTCCACTGTGCTCTCCTTTGGTCGTATCTCTTCGCTATCTCCTGTATTCCTTACTCCCTTCTGGCTGTCTGACGAAATACCCACCACATGGCATTCTTCTCTCCTGCTCTTACCATTTCTTTCTTCTTTCTCAGTATTTCCCCACCGGAAATATCTCACCATCCACACACACACACAAAATGATACATATACGTGCATCCCAGCTCTATGCTACAACAAAGCGCGAATCAGCCAATTGACACAACACTTTATATGAGAATAGTGGGGAGAGGAGATGAGAAATTAAGAAGGATTTAGGATATATCTCTCTCTTTCGCGCTTGTCCCCTGTAACATGTTACAGTACAGTCATATAAAACTACATAAGACATTGGATGTACACTGCACAGCGTGTTATTACTGATGCAGGGAACTCCCCACAAAGTGGCGAATGTATGCTGGTGCTGGGTTAAACGTTAGGAAGGGCCCTCGCCCCTGTGGTGGGGAGAGAGATGAGGTAGGAACGAGATCCGAAGCGGCATACGATGCATGTCGTGGATGGTGCTTTACCTGCTTTCCCCTACGTTACCTACTTTCCTGCTAAGGCATTGTTGACAGAGTGCGCAGGCGGGTTGGGCGATCAAGTGAGTTGCTGAGAGGAGACCGAAATGAAAAAACCCCCCCCACAGGGCTAGGAAAGACTGGAGGGTTGGAACAAACCGAGGCGAGGATAGATTTACCTTGCATATGTATATGTACGCAGTATGTGGCCAGATATGTGGCCAGCAGCAACCCGGTGATGGCTTTCTTGGTGAATGTAGCTCTTATCAACTTTAATGCCGAAAAATTTTTTGGGCTGGGATTGTGGAAGAGAAATGACCATCCTGTGTGGAAAGGGAGATGCTATAGAGGAAAATTGGCATCGTATATTATTGACTAGACGTTGTGATATCTGTAAAACATTAACTATCCCTCTATCGTGGCGGAAAGAGTCACCCTCTTCGTGAGAATTTCTAGAAACAAGGAGATAATGACAGGCCAACACACCACCCATCTTAGGACGAACTTACTTCAACAACACGGCACTCTTGAAGGAAACGAAGCAGCTTTGAATAACAAGACACGGGAAATAATAGTACAACCGCAGCTTCTCCAAAATCCTGGTTCGTCACATTTTGGATTCCCCAGTCACCTTATCTCCCCACAAATTTTCGCATCTGCGTTGTCTCTCCGTCTCCCCTGCATCCAAGACAAAGGGAAACAACAGGATGCAGCTGCTACATATGTTTTCCTCCACGGCACGCGCCTAGTACCTGTCAATCACCATCCCCGGTTCCCGACGGGTCGGCTATAATGTGAATCGGATATGGTTGCGTTTCGTCCCTATCGCTTCACTTTTTTTTGAAACCCCCTCGTCGTATCGTCCCAATTTGTCAAGAAAAAGCAAATAGAAAAAAGCCTGTCTGATCCCTCGAAGCTATATTCAAACTAAATTTTTTTTTTTGAAAGACAAACTCAAAAAATGTACGGGGTACAGAGCTAGTGGTTAAATGTCAACGAGAGAAGGGACGGGAATGTGCATTTCCATTCCCATCCCATCACCCCAACCCGCATACATACAATTTTTTTTTTTTTTTCATTTATTTATTAATTTATTCTCAGCCTCTCAGGTTCGGCTCAGAGACAATGCCACTTTGTGTGTGTGATTTTATATAGAGTTGACTTCCGGGGTCATCGCGAGGGCCACTGATTCTTAGACAGGAGCTGCACGGCTTCAGGGGTAATCAACAGCTACTCCGTACGCACAGAAATCTCTACCTACCCGCGTGCTATTGGATATCTCCAATATGACTGCTATTCGATCAGCCCTGCGGGGGAGGAGCAATTAATTGGACGGATTGTGCCATTGTGCCATTGATGGGGTATTCTCTCAAATAGACGGCGTTCACCATTGCAGAACCAGAGGTAGAGAGGGTCGAATGGGCAAATTCGCATCTTAGCCTATAGAAACTCAGTCCACGGTCTGCCTGCCTCCAAAACAAGTGCCTTATAAATGCAAGCGGTGAAAATTTGCTATAGAATCTGTTGAACCAGACCTAAACAATACTGATCCATGTCAGGCGAGGCAATGTTTACTAGACAATTGCCGTTGGTTCCACACTAGACAATACACAGCAGTGTTTCTTTGATAAATGACGGTCAAGGATGAAATACAACGACCCCAGGAAGAATTTGGTGATTAGACTGGCCATTTATTAGGATGAAACGCTCAACCGCGACCTGGAGCACCTACAGAAACTCTGCAGCCCAAAGGTGATAGACGAATCGGAAGGGCGAATGGGGAAATAGAGAGCGAATGGCAACGGGATATTTTATAGGAGTAAACTACTCATTGGTAGGAGAAAACAATTGTTATTGGGACCCGTAAATCAAAAATCAGCCGAGAAATGAGAAATACATTCATGCACTTAACTAAATAACTACTGGGCAGTTAACGCAAAGTTAAGCTTTGGATCTGCGGGCCCTCGAGTTTGTCACAAATTGTAGGTTAATTATTTCATCCCGGCTTTTGTTCTGAATTACACTGTTACTGTGGCCGCGTTCACACAACAAAATGCACTTGGATGGAATGGTACAATTGAGTTGCTGAACAAGTCAGTGGATTGTTCGATTCCACCTTTTGCCCTCTCTGTTCTCCTAATATTGCAGATAGCGAGAAAATCGTCAGATCCTGACTGGCCTAGGCCTGCCTTCAGGCTCCATTCTACAATGACCTCATATCTCCCGAGATTTTTTGTAATCTGCCCATGGGATTCAAACGTTTTGTAGCCCTCTTATTTCAACATTCACTCATGATTGCTCTTACGTCTCCTTTCTCTTCTGATTACTCTCTTCCGCTAACTGATTACCCGCGCTATTGATGCCTGCCGCATTTGTTCTACCCCTCACGATACCAATTGTTTGAACGCCCCGCGCCCAGACTCCTTCTTTTGAGCAGTATCTTTATTCACACGTCCTCGCAACAGTCATGGCAGCGGGACCGCATACTTTTGGGAAGTAACTGCTCAATCCACTGCATAACTTAGTTGAAGTAGTATCCGTAACGAAGGGCGGAGGATATATGTCGCTAACCGACTTTGGCAGTCGTTGCGGATGTTTTCACCTCGGAAAGGTATACCGGCCTCCTCGTACACATATATTGCCCTCTTGGCACTGGGGTGTGTGCTTCTTAGTTAACATATCCCTTCGCATTCGCAACTGCAGATATCTCGGAACCCAGCTAGCGATCGTAAGCGTGCGAAACAATGCCCCTTTCCCGGGCTCGAAAGCAGCGCATTGCCTTAGAATTCGGCTACGTGAACATAGTCTTCCTCCACGATGCCCCCCAGCCTGGCCTATCCCGGAAAGTGGAGATATTCAGCAAGACTGGAGAGCGGAGCTTTTCTGGCCGGGCGGTCCTTGGGGCAGCCCACTACATTTTCCAGAAGCTCGAGGCCGAGGACTCCATCTTGATCAGCGACTGGTCCAACCTACCGGCCGCAGAAATTCAACAGAAACGGCAAGCCCCCAAGTCAATCAACCGCTGTACCCTCGAGACAGAGGGTGGTCTTATCCAGGCCCACTATGATCCCGCTCGCCAGGTGGCCGCCATCGAAATCCCACATAACATCCACATCCACGCCCGTGAAACTACAAAGGACGAGGTCCTCGCCGTCCAGCGTCAGCTACTCCCTCACCCGGAGGAAACTGACAAAATGAAAGCCTCCTACCCCATCTTCTCCATTGCCCCAGGCATGACCTTCACCCTTATTGACTTCACCTCGTGCCCCTCGCTCCTCCCGCGGCTGGAACACGGCTACGCGCCTGAACCCACCTTAGATGCTGGCTGAGCGGTACGGGTAGGCGAAGGTGCCCCCACACCCTTCTGTGGCTGCGTGTATTTCCTCCAGCTGCAGACGGATTTCACAGAGGAGCCATATATTACGCGGCTACGGGTGCGGGTGATTGCGGCAGGGCTGGAGGAGACGGCGTCAGCAAGCGGCTGCTCTGCCCTGGCGGCGTACCTGGCACTCCAAAAAGGAGGGGCGAATTCAAGGCATGCCTACGCCATTGAGCAGGGGGTTGATATCGGGAGGGCGAGTCAGTTGCGCGTTGAGGTGAGGTTGAATGAGACCGGGACTAGTGTGTCCCGGGTATCACTCTCAGCTAAAGCGACGTTTGTGATGGAGGGGAGGTTGCTGTAGAAGATTTGATCAATGGGTATTTATTTACCTTTCACTTACTTTTCTGATCGCATTGAGCGTTTACTTCATGTTATTTCCCAATTTTTGCATTTGCATATCCGTGCTTTAACTACATAAATACCTCGTTGTTTCAACCGTTTTATGGCGAATTGGGTAAATAACAGACGACTATATGAACGAAAACAAAACAACAATGATAATAATATTCCCCACGGACAAAAACCACCTACTATTTCCACAGTCAACCCTGTCCATTACTACGTTATCGCCTGCATAAGCTACAAAATCTCAGGTCTGCATATTCGCCCATCCACCGTCCAAATTCCTTTCAGCATACAGTTTCAAAACATACCCCACCTTCAACTTATACGTATGGAGCTGGATAGCAGAAGGATATGCATATTCACACATGACTAAAAAGGGTCCTCATTCCCTCCCCCCCCCCCCCCCGGGTTGAATATATCCAACTTACCCGCTTTTTTACACATCGTAAAATAGTAGCCAACAGGGACGACAAGAAGAAGAAAAAAAATTATTATACGACCCTTTCGTAGTCCATACAATCAACTTCCTATCCAAGACAATGGGTTCAACTATATGTTTATACATGTATTGTGCATGCCTGATGCTGCACCGGGGGCCCGATTTTATGTCACTGTATAGAGGTAGTTATTACCCAGCCCTCATGTAACGTTCGTGCAATGACAATAGCAGAACCAAATACAACACAATCAATATCCATAAGCGATTTAACTTCGGAGTCGCGCGCACATGCGCTACGTCGCATACACACTAGTACCGTACGGCACACGCGCCGCATATAGATGCCCAAGAAGCTATACGCTGCTAGTTACCCACTGCAAGAATGCTTATATGTATGAAAAGGGTAGTGGCCCGCTCTAGGGACGGGGAGGGAGGGAATCCACCAAGTCCTTAATACACTAATGTTTATACCTCATACTTGTATTTGTATTTGTCCTTCTTCTTCTTCTTTATATTCGAGTCCCGTGTCATCCGGATTATGCGGAAAAGTGCATATATCCTTTTCAACTAAATAAATACCTGCTGTGCAAGTAAAATTAAGACAGGGCATGACAGCCGATGTCCCCAGAACGACCGGCCCTTTCGCCCTGCGAGGAGATGAGGCCAGCCGGACCGAAGTGCGGGGTTGGTTTCTGGCTGCGCGCGGGGTCGGGGTATATGATACTAGTATTTATATGCCGCAATCTCCTCGCCTACCAGCTGCCGGGATAAGAAAGGGAGTCTCATGGTAAAATAGCCCTACTGGGCGATGGGAGGATTTGCTCCGCCCCTCAATATTTTCGCCCGGAGTCGAATACCTGACGTTTCACCTCAATTTCTGAAGCAGATATCTGTTTACGAGTCCTTAGACGGATAGGGTTTAACTGTGGAAATTCTATTACTTATTCGCTCATCTACTCATCTTGCGTTTGGCTGCGTTTTAAATGTGGAAGGGAAGTTAACACCCTGTTTGTTTGTGCCCAAAACTCCCCAAGGGATATCAGCAGATATAACAATCCGAAGCAAGGGACGCTTAATAATATTAGCATTATGCATTTAGGCGCCCAAGACTGGAATTTAAATGAGCATTTTGTCTTGTGCATGGCCCACTTCGATAACGTTGTCTTCGGCGGCAAAAGGATTTGTTTAATCCTGGCAAATTCAGATTGTGGCAGGATGCAATGCGGAAGGACCTATGGGTTTTTGAAGGAAGAGGACGAATTTCGGTCATAACATGTACTGTATAAGCAGTGTTTGAAATGATTGATGCATGGATTTGTTTCGTAGTTTGACGGGACTTCTGCGAAGCTACAGCAATCTGATGCCTCGGCCCCGGGTGCAGGACCGCTCGATGCTTAGCTAAATTATTTCCCAGCTCAGGGAAGTCAGGCAAGGGACATTGAACCAAGAGAATGTCACGAAAGCAGCTCCAGAGCAATGATCTCAGACAGACCTCCCTGCAATCAACGCCAGTAGTGTTTCTGAAAGATGACAACTTTCGATGCTTCTGTGTTTTTTGAGTTTGGAAGAGATTCTCCGTGGAGGGTTCAGAGATAAAGAGTACAAAAAGAAGTATCGGTGGGAATAAAGGTGTTTCATAAAGACTAATTAACCGGGTAATACTAGCGGTCGAAGGATCAAACACAGGCCTGTAGAAATCAGTTCACAACTGTAAGATCATCCGTACCAATGCAAGACAAGATCTCCGGATCAGGCAAAATACAGGGAGGAAGGGGGATCAGTGAGCCCGATGTGGAAGAAATGGACTGCTCAAGTATTCCCTGTAGTGTCAAAAGGAGCATCTGAGGTAAAAACCCTGCTGGTCTAGCTTCTTTTGTCGCCGTCATCCTTCAGAGTCCCCACAATGAATGCGCCGCAAAACGAGATTCTGACAATATGGAACGGAGCACCTCCTCGTTCGGTGTGGCGGATGGTTTGTGTGAAGGCTCAGCTCCTTCGTTGCCGAAAGCTGGGTGGAGGGTTTAGGACGAGCGACGGACAAAACGAGAAATAGAGGGAGAATTTTTTGACAAGAGAAGATATGGCAAGAGGAAAAACAGGAGGCATTGACACAGAGCATAACGCTGCCCAAGCGACGGACGTCTGAAGAAGCTTGGCTCCATGCCGAGGTGCGGCAGTTTGTGTTGGACGATGCCAGCCGGAGCCGCCCACGCTAAGCCGCATCTGCCAACCGTACAACCTTCTCTCAACCTCAAACCCTCCCTCCGGACTTCAACCTCACCATCCTCAACGACAATCCCAGAGGCCATGTTCTCAGCACCCAAAACCTGCAAGATCTCACTAACCTGGCTTAACCCGACCCTTAGCGGATATGACTGAAATGGTTCTCCTGTCAGCCTGCATCATGGTGCCCCTTGACATCCGTGCCCAGTCGGCCCTGCGACAGCTTGGATGTCACTGTAGTTTCACTCTAGCACTCCTGCTTCATGCGTTCGATATGGGTTCTTCATATCGATCATTCATATATAGCCGCCTTGGCGGCTGTTGTACAGCCCTACATTCCTCTTTTTCCCTTGTTCTACATGTCTATTCATTTTTGATCTCCATTCTCTCTTCTCTCCTTTTTTTGTATGTGTTTGCCATTCTTCTTCCCTCCATACACAATCTTGGTGCTTCAAATGTCCATATGGTCGTTTTGAGGGATTGCACTCTTTTTTCTTTACCCCCCGTCCTCCCGCACTCGATAAAGAGAAATTTCATCATTCATTTTTGAAATAATTCCACGTTGATCGTGGAATATTCCCCACAAACATCCCATATGATTACATTCTTTATATTCGAGGAGCGGTGCACCTTTTATACATATATTTTGTGGCGCGATACACATCCTGTGAAAAAGTCACCTTTTACTTTCCTTCCCAAATTTGAAAGACCATCTGAGTTCAGAAATCTTATTGCTACTCTCAATCCTCACAGCAGCGTTTGAACAGCATGCTGTACAAAAACCTCTTGCTTGCTTTGGTTCTCTCGTCCGGGTTTCTCGATGTAGTTGTTGGTGCGGATCTCCGAGCTCGTCAGAATGGTGGCCAGGCTGAAGTCGCTGCCCAAGGTGGTGGAGATGACCAACGCCAGGCCGGACAGGGTCAAGATGGCCAGCCCCAAGCCGGACAAGGTCAAGATGGCCAACCCCAAGCCGGGCAAGGTCAAGATGACCAGGCCGCGCAAGGTCAAGAAGTTCAGGCGCAGGGTGGGCAGGGTTTCCGATTCGGGCAAGGTTTCCGATTCGGGCAACGTTTCCCATTCGGACGAGGTAGAGGTGGTCGGCGCCAGGGCGGACAAGGTGGCCGCGGTAACCAAGGTCAGCGGCAAAACGGTGGAAACAACGGTGGAAACAATGGCGGGAACAACGGCGGAAACAATGGCGGGAACAACGGCGGGAACAACGGCGGGAACAATGGCGGGAACAATAATCAGCTTCTACTCAGCCAGAACAACGTCCAGGAGGCTAGCAAGAGCGACGGAGCCGCCAATGCCGAAGCAGGACAATCTGCCTCTCTCACGTGAGAATTGCAACCGTTACCCCACAAGAGAGAAACATGCTAATGATCTACAAAGTGATGATGCCAACTTTATCAATTTCTGCACTGGCAAGACATTGACCAACGGTCTTCAACTGGATGGTGGTTCTTGCAATGGCATTGGTAAGTGTGTTTACACCCCGCTGTATATTACCGACTGCACATTGCCCGAAGTGCAAGCTCCTAATTAGAATTAAATAGTTATGGGCGATATCCCTTCCCGCAGCAATATGATTTCCGCCATTATTTTAAACCCTTCGAACGGTGAAGACCTCCAAGAAAATCAGAGTTTCAATGTCGACGTTCAAGTTGACAATCTCGTGGCTGGCTCGTTCACCAACCCTGATGTCACTTACTACTCGGCTCCGCAGCAACTAGTTGGAGGGAAGGTCCAGGGGCACAGTCACGTCACTATCCAAAGTCTTGGAAATAATATCAAGGCGCAGAACCCGCCAGACCCCGACAATTTCGTTTTCTTCAAGGGCATCAATGATCCCGGTAACGGGCAGGGTGGACTCAGAGCTCAGGTTGACGGCGGCCTCCCCGCTGGCGTCTACCGTCTCTGTACTATTAATTCAGCCAGTAACCACCAGCCCGTAATCATGCCTGTGAGTACCCTGGCAATATCACCTACCCCTAGCGTAGCTGTGAACTGATTTTCCATCGTCTAGGTTGCTCAACGTGGTGCCCAAGATGATTGTATACGCTTTACTGTGGGTCAAGGGAACAACAACAATAACAATAATAATGGTCAAAATAACGGTCAGAACGACGGTCAGAACGACGGTCAGAACGACGGCCAGAACAACGGCCAGAATAACCAGGGTAGAGGAGGTCAGGGTAGAGGAGGTCAGGGTAGAGGAGGTCAGGGTAGAGGAGGTCAGGGTAGAAGGGGCGAAAATGGCCGGGGCAATGGCAGAGGCCAGCTTCCAAACAGATTCCCTTTTGGTCGCGCTAGTCGACGCTTTCCTTTCATCAAGAGAACATTCATTGCTTGAACAGGTGTAGTCTCAGATTTAGCCCCGGGACCTACGCTCTGAGAGTTGGAGCTCTCCCGTACTCTACTGTGCCGCGTCCGATCCCTGCAATGCGTCGAGTCCCCTACGTGTCGATGTTTTGTATATTGTGGCATTTGTGCCGTTTAACGTTTTTTATTGTACTCTATATGTACTGCTGGTGCTTTCTCTTTGTATTCATGATTTCGTTTGTCTTTTTCAGTTTTGTCCTTCCTGTGAGCCTCGTCATTAGAAAGATATAGGATCCCGCTTTCTCTCTTGGGCTTGTGGATGTTTGCGTGACGTATGGATGTTTACCCTTATCTGTGGATATTGTGTCTAATTTGATTCTACTCCGTACTATACAAACAAATCGCTAGGAGCTGGCGTTTTTGTTTTGTTCTTAGAGAAAGGAAATAGTCGGCTTTGTAGTATATGGGGCCCCCCATGGCGAACTTCAAATTCTATGAATCTCCCCTGCTCCAAGTGCTGCAACTGGCAATTTTGCACTGAAGTAACAAAAGGGTAGCGAGGTAAATTCTGTCGGCCCTCAAGAGCTGCATGACATTCAGGGCCAGTAACGCCACGTGATAATCCAAGCCCTTATCGATAACGGACTTTCACGAGCCAACCTTGGAAGCTTTTAACTTCTTCAGCGCCGATATCTCAACGCCCCAAATTTACCCGATTTGTCGACTCCTTGCATCGCTAAATGCTATTCAATCCCTCTCGCTGTTGGACACTGGACAAAGAAGTACATGGTAGCCAAGGCGGTTTTATCACTTAATTTCTAACTGCCGCTGGAGCAACGCTTTAATTAACGAAAAACCACCCCTTCAAAGTGTCCGCCGATTCCTCCCCCGCAGCACTTGATCCAGCAACATTGATTGAATAATAACTAGATCAATTCTAAATGGCATCCCAATCCCACCTACTCCTACTTCCAGGAGACCCAATCTCCTACCCTCATCAACAACCAAGCCATCCTGCTACCACCACCAAGCTCTCCTCAGGCCTACGCACGCTCCAAACACCCTCCTCCAACAAAAACAGCACTGCACTAATAACGGCAACCCAAGCTGGCCTCCTAACAACCGATCCCAAACGAAACGTCTTAACGCTCCACACATTCCCCCAACGCCGCTACATCCCATCCCCCAATGACTTTCTGATCGCCCAAATCCACCACTCTAGCGTCGATTACTTCCACTGCAACATAACCCCGCACACGCCGTACGCGCTTTTAGGCCAACTAGCATTCGAGGGCGCGACGCGCAAAACCCGCCCGCTCCTTAAACACGGTGACCTCGTGTACGCGCGCGTGTTATCTACCGGTGTGGGCAATGCGGGGGAGGTGGAGCTTACATGTGTGAACCCGGCTACGGGGAAGGCGGAGCCTGGTGGTCTGGGGCCGTTGGCTGGTGGGATGGTGTTTGATATCTCTACGGGATTGGCGGAGAGGTTGTCGTTGAGGGGTGGCAGTGAAGGAGTTAGTGGGGTTGTGGTGTTAGAGGAACTGGGGTCGAGATTGGAGGGCCATGGCGGGTTTGAGATTGCAGTTGGGAGGAATGGGAAGGTTTGGGTAGATTGCCCGGTTGCGAGGAAGGGAGGCGGTGGAGATGTGGATGCGGCGAAGGCAGTTAAGACTATAGTTGCGGTGGGGAGATGTTTGAGGGAGACGGATGAGAAAAGGCTTGGGACTTCGGAGCAGAGGAAATTAGTTGGGGTCGTGTTGAGGGAGATGGGATTGTGAAGGTGTTCGCGATCATCGAAAAATCTATATCAGATATATATCTTGGTGGTCTTTGCCTTTTTGGACTGTGGGGTTTATATTGGAGTTACTTTTTTTTTTTTTTTTTTTTTTTTTTTTTTGTATTACAAACAATGACATTAGCGTTTGAGCAGCGATCTCTGGTCTAATGTCCCTGAGATTCCCAGCGAATCCATACAGATCACCGCATAGTGCTCGTTAAGCCAGTCAGAATCAAAATACCCATGGTACTTAATATTCACATCGCCCCCGTGTCGTATTGAAACATCGACTTTTATCTTCGCTGGGTAATATACATATTCTTCGAAAGGGGAAATAGGAAATACAGAAACAGCAACATTTTCTCGGCTTTGGCTCATACATCGTCCCACTTGCTCACTCGAAAGCATAACCCAATCACTGTTTCACCAATTCACGATCTAAACCCAGAGCTAGAGTACGAAAGTCAAATTTATCGAGGATGCACAAGTTCAAGGCCATCAAGCAGCAGGAGACATTAGGAAAAAACAATAAATCGTTAAAACATACTGGCAATATGCTTCTCCATCCCACCCTCCTGTTTAACCTTAAAACGTAATCCAAATCCGCGCACACCACGCCGTCACCAGGACATCCGTCATTATATCATCTAGCGGCGTAGCAGAGACAATTTGCAATCGTGGCCGTCGTGCTCGACTACGATCACGCTGAACATCGTCCAGATCGGTGGCCAAAGTCTCAATCGCAACGGTAGTTCCACACCCATCCTGCCACTCCAGCACTTCATGTTTCTCCGGATTCCGCTTCGGCTTTACACGAAACACCATTGACTCCGTGTTCTTATACACATGCCATAACGCCCATACCGTCTTCAGCAGCTGTCGGGTGGATTTCAGTAGTAGAATTCCGGGCAGGGTGCTGCGGCGTTGGCCGATAATTTCCACCGTCTCAGACATCACTGGACGTGTGAATTTATAGATGATCTTATCCCGCGGGTTGAGGTTTGGACTGAGGCCGCCTGTGCTGGAGCGTCGGGGCTCCAGTCGGGATACTGATATTGTACTGTAGTCCAAGTTGAGGTTATTGGAGATCGCATAGAGGGCAGTGGCTGGTGGTGTCGTTGGGTAAATTAAGGTGCCATCTAGGGTTATATCGGAAAGGACCGGCGGAGGAAGTTGTGCGGTAAGATGAAGATATGGAGTTGATTGGGATTGAAGTCGAGGGTGGGCATGAGGTAATGGCTCTGGTGTGGATCGTTCGTAGTGGTGCGATTCTATATCTTCGTAGGCGGGCGGTCGGTCAGAAGGATTTAGTCTCGTTTCGTTATTCATCGGTCCTTATTTCCTTATGTATTAACTTATATATTTATTTATTTCTCGGACAAGACAGTAAAGAGGGAGTTTCTGCTTTCAACATTGCTACGATGAAGCTTGTTTCCGCCACATTAAATTTAGCTCTGGAAACCACGAGGTAGCGGCACGCGACCAAATACAGTACATACATAACATACAGTGATCAACTCCAAGATCAGCCAGATATGAGTCCATCCACGTTCTCTTGGTGGACCCCAGGAATCAAGTGTCCTCTGTGAATTATTTCCGCATCCGCGTGTTTCGCGCCTATTTGTGGTTCAGGGGAGGTTAAATTCTGCTAAGACAGGATAGGACCTTGTCCGCTCTGCCATCTATGGATTCTTTCACGGTCCATTTCAGAAACATAGAGGGCGACAAATTCGAGCGAATTTTCGGGAGCGGACCGCAACGCTACCGTGCTCTTAAACACCTAGAAGGCGCTAGATATACAATATGTCCCCATGTTCCTGATAAAAGTTAATGAGGTTCTGACGAAAATTTTCGGCGCTTCCCAGCATCCAAGCATCACTCTGTCCAGTACTGTATTGGGGACTTGTGGGGCACATCGATATATCAAGTCCAGATATGAACGTGATGGGAAAACAGTAATCGGCATTCCCCAATAAATTGTGCCGTTGGATAGGGGGTCCAAGGGATGCATAAAGGTTTAACCTAGCCGATGAATCCTCATTTTAACGTGACTGCAATCTCTACCATATTCACCCAACGTGTTCGAGATTCTAGCAGTTCTCCCGTTGAATCGACGGCCTCATTCTTTCGTCTCCTTTTTTTTGTTGAGGGTTTCGATTTTTGTAATGAGGCAACATTGCAGTTGTCTACATCATCTGCGGACTTTGGGTTGACACAAGCTTCGCCCGGCGTTTCTTTAGGCGTGCCAGAAACAGCTTCCTTTTCATCCTTCTCTATCCCCTCCTGTTTCCGCTTAAGCTTCTCATCCTCCACAATATCATCCACCACCATCACGGCCCCAGTATTCACCTTAATCGCGTACTCCTCTTTTGCCGCAAACCAATTCCCAATGCTCATCGCCTTCTCTATAGCTCGCCCTGTCGCTTTGATGAAAACCTCCTCTTTTTTAAGATCCTCAGCACTCTCAGTAAGCTGTGTGAGCTTCTGTTTCTCGCTGATTTTCTCACTTAGATCGATCTTAGCTGTTGCCCGTCTTTCTGCATGTTTGAGCAGTTTCTGCACGCGCTTCGCGGCGCTCATAAATGGTGTCTTGGTTGAAACATAAACTACCTTAGGAACTTTCGCGCCGGCATAAGGAGAGGCAGATGGTGGATGCGGGATTGGCCGCTTTTGAATCCGTGCATCTACGGACGGCGAAGGTTTGTTGTTTAGTAGCAGTTTCAATGGAGTGGCATTGAAGCGCGAAGTTTGGATACGTACAGCTGGGGACCCTTCGCATATTTTTATTTTTCTTCTCGAACTTCAGTTCGGGGTAAGGATTTGGCTTCGTCATAACTGCAAGTGGGTATCAAGCAAAGACCTTAGCCAGGTATTGTGTTTCTGACGATGGATTTAATAGATTTACTAGCTTGAAGAGCGAGTTGAACTCGATCGGTTCGCATGTTTGCTCTGTTTGCTCGTGCTATCGATAGCTGCACCGAATGCGGCTACTTTTCCCCTACCCAACCTTCGCCTGAAGATTTTTTGCCAAAAAATTTCTAGCAATTTTACTAGATAATCCCAGCCCAACCGCGAGAAAAAAAACCAAACACAAAATCACGTCTAGTAGCCTTTGTACTTATTCTCCTCTCCGCTAGTTCCTTGTGTATACCGGCCGTATTTACATTTAACAACGCCATGAGCGAAGAGACTAACGGGGTTTCTCCCGAGAATGCGGAGCGATGCGCCATCGGATTATCATTTGGAAACACTAACAGCTCCATTGCGTATACATCACCAGTAAGTGACATGATTGCGGTATTAATATCTTGAAGTAAAGCCTTTGCTGATCATAATTTTTCTTTCTTCTTCTTACTTTAAAGGAGGGAAAAGCAGAAGTCATAGCTAATGAGGAGGGAGGTACGTTTGCACTCGGACCCGCCGAGAACCTCTTGATCCTCAGCGACTAATGGAGTCTGCATAGATCGCCATATTCCCTCCATTCTTTCATACGTTGATGCGGAGGAATACCATGGAAACCAGGCCAAGATACAGCTAATCCGAAATTCCTCCAACACGGTTGCTTATTTCAGAGATTTTCTAGGAAAAGAGTAAATACTTCTTCCCCACCTTGTTTCAATCCCGGGTAATCGTATTCTACAACCAGATTAGATTTTAAACTAATATCGCCAATCAAAGCTTTAAATCGATAGATCCTACTCCTTGCCATGCGTCTGCTCCCCCCCAATTGCATGATTCCACGGTAGCCTTTACAATCCACGATACCACAAATGCAGAGCCTAGCACAGTGACCGTCTCAGAAATAACCACCCGCCACCTTCGTGGTCTCCGACGGTCTGCATCGGAATTCCTAGGAAAAGACGTTAATGCCGCACTGGTTTCACAGTCCCAACAAACTTCTCAGATGCTCAACGCACTGCCTGGA